AGCCAAAAAAATCACAGAAGAAATATAAGTGAAACACTGGAAATGCACGCACACGCACGCACACACGTACACGCACACGTACACACGTACACACGTGATTATAAGGGCAATCCTAGCGGAGCGGATCGCCAAAAAACAACATCCAAGACGAAAAAATGGTTTGGTCAGAATGTAAATATGTGCGTCAAATGAGGTCAATTTCAGGGCATGGGCCCAAGTGCTATGCTATACTACTGTCCGATTATCAATTTGTATTTAATGGTGAATGTAGTCTGACGCCATGATCAATATTTATCAATTAAGTTTCAGTGGGGGGGGGGGACTAAAGGAATTAAGTTTTTTATCCGACCTCGATCTTTTGACGTTGTGCCTACACATTTCTAAATCCAGTCTCCAGCCATGGAAAAAAATGTAATATAACTTACCTTTAATCAATCATGCATTTAACTGCTAAAGACATCCCCCATGGTTCATTCAACATATTTCCCTTCGAAAATAATGTAGTTGCATCATTTCTTTAACTGCACATGCATCTTCCAATAAATACAGCTCTTTTTGTATCTCCATGGATATGACCCTGGTAGCTGAATACCATTTCACTTGCATATCACTCATAAAATCCTGATTATAAAATCTCTAATTGCTCGCTTTTCCAGGTGTACGGAGAGACGTCATACGACTTAGTGGCGCAGATGATAGATGAGATCACTATAACCGAAGACGATGCGTTCATTGATCTTGGCAGTGGTGAGTGCTTTGTAGCTCATAGTTTTTGGTAGATCAAGTCCATCATGTTCTTTCTATTAATGGTAAATAATTCCTGATCTATATAATAGTTTGGTATATGTTGTAAAGGCCTCCAAGTCTCATACTCTCTAATCAATCAGGGTTTGAACTTCGTATACATGTAGGCATCGACGAAATTGCCTTGATGCCCATATCTCTTGTGTTATTCCAATCTATGCTAGGATAAGTTGGTCAATTTTTGCCTTGAGAATGGGTTTCTTCTTCACTATTATGTACAAGCCCGGATTAATTAATAATGTACTGTAGAGATGCTAAAAATTTGCATATTACGCGGAAATTGTACAGTACTCATCAATCTGTCTCAGTATGTATTCTATGCTGTCGCTATAGTAACCAGTAGAAAAATGTTAGCATAAAATGTACTTTTTGTGTAGGGTTCATTTTTCTTGGAAATTTGAATTGCTTTGTGTTTTTCTCCACCTATGGTGTTTTCCAACATGTCATTTTCCATTTTGCAGAGTTTGGCAAGTTTTTTTTATGAGAGAGCAAGACCTCATGTGGGTATGTGACTGGAAAATCTAAACAGATCACTTATATAACAGTTTGCATATGCAGTACTAAGATACAAAAATCTCATTAAAAATCTATTGGCTGTTTTAGTTAAAAAGGCTACAATTTTTGTATTCCTTGGATGTCTTGAATAAAATTGATGGGATTTATATGACATGTTATTTTTTTTTTTATATGGTAGTTATTGCTTTAAAAGCCAGTTGGAAACTTTTCATTTATGAAAATTGTTATAAAATGAACACAGGGTGGTAAACAAATGTGATTCACTTTAAAGCTTGAAAAACCACAGGTAGTTTTTTCTTGAACGATGCAAACATTTTATGTATTGTATGTACACGCAGCTTGGGTGATAAACTACAAGTTTGTGCCATTATCCCTAAAATGAAGTGTGCCCGGGAGTGGGGGGGGGGGGTCAAATGGTCTTTGTGCCTATCCCTCTATCTATCTATCTATCTTTTCTTTCTCAAAGTTGAATTGAACAGGTGTATTTAAACAATATTGCACAAATTACATATCATGTATGCACGAGCCGCAGATTGTGCAATATTGAGGCTTTGTTTGTCACAACAAACTCAAAGTGGCCGAGTGGTGGCCATTTTATTTCAGTGAATGCAATTTATCTCTGACCTTCTCTGACTGTGTCTGCCCAAACTTTATATATTTCTTAAACTTGAAATGGGGACTATGCAATGCAATTACTTGTTATCACAATAATACCATTTTATATTGGATAACTTCAATTGAAAGTTTTTTTGAACATAAAGAAGGGTATTAAGTTATTCTAATGATGCCTTCACTGGTACACTGTCATAAATTTGTTTGCATTTTAGTTTTTATTTTGTTTCCCACCATCATGACTTTAATGTATTGCAGGTGTTGGTCAAGTGGTATTACAAGTAGCCGCTGCTACCCAATGTAAGATTGCATATGGTGTGGAGAAAGCTGATGTACCTGCTGCATACTCAGAGGTACAGATCAAATTATTTACTTCCCACACCTCTTTCTGGAAAACATGCTAATATACACAATGAGTAGAAACAATATTGTTTTATTTTGCAGTGCTACCTGTAGTACAATCTTTGCCAAATTTGCATCAAAATCTGTTAGTCAGATGGTTGCCTCTCGTCTCAATTCATGCTGATTATTTCAGTGCTAAACTGTTTTTAAGGCCATGAGGGCACCTAGTTTTGGGACAAGTTGTAGTTTGCCACCTGTGATATAGGTATAATAAATGAATTGTTAGTGCCATGCCGGCCATGGATGGTCCAGAACAGTGCTTATAACTTCAGTTACTTTTGTGCATGTGTGCATCTTCTGCCTTATCTCAACGATGCATGAACCAATTTCAATTCAAACTTTGTGACTAATTTTTAATTTTCTGATTCATGAACATTTATGATGCATCATAACTCTGAAAGGCTTTGACCACCTTAAACGAAATTCACTACAAAGGTCTATCACAAAAGCTTACAAATGCAAGTTTGTTTGTTTTCGGATCTGTGCTTGTGAAGTTTGGTTTTAGGATCAAAACATGTTTTTGCCTGTTATTGTCACTGCATTGATCAATTTCATTCGAACTGCACATGTAGTTGACACACAATACTTTACATATATTGTTAGACACAATTTACAATCAAGGTATATTAAGAATGTCCCTTGGGGTCATAATATCATTTAGGCCAGATTTTTTTTATTCCTTGTTTCTTGAGTTTTTATAAGCCAATTTTTTTGAGGGTGGAAAAAAAGTAAAATTAATTCTTTTTTCCCATTAGATTTGTGTGATTCTCACAGAATTGTAAGTGAGATCATTGATCGGAAAGAAGAAATGAAATAAAATTTTATTCCATGTATAACCTTGTTTTTCATCTGCGCGAGACTTCGGTACTTTGATAAAGATACTCCCACGAAAATGCAACTTGGATTTGGTATGCGGCGGGCGGTAAAAAAATGAAGATAAAAATAATATTTTTTTTAGCAATTTTTTGCGCTTACAAGTCGACGGGCGCGAGAAATTATGCTGAAATAAAATTTTATTTTTATTTCAATTTCGACTTCTGTTTATTCGGCGGGTTCACGAAACAAGGGATAATAAAAGTCTGGCTTTAGTTCTTAAAAGCATATGTGGTGGTGCTTTGTCATTGACTTGTTAAATTTCTTCGACTTTCACTGCCTTTCATTCCCGCTAAATGAATGTTCTTGCGTGATACATTCTCAGTGGTTGATAATGCTAGAAATCAATACTGTAAAATACTTTATTTTTACTTGGAATTTGCTATTTCAGCTGAATAGGTGATTCAGTGAAAATAAAATTCAGCAAATATACCTTTTTTCTATATTTTACATTCAACTCATCAAAATCAATGAAAATAAATTCCATAAAACACACCTAAAGTCTTGTCAGCCAAAATTAATTCCAACTAAAATAAAGTATTCTACAGTACATCTATTTATCACTGTTATATTAGCATTGTGTATATGTATGATTGCATAGCTGTTGGTAATACAATGCAGTGCCCCTCTCGTGTCACTTCCATCTAAAAGAATTCTTTGTCTGTTGATCAGTTGCTATGCTATTATATTTATTTTCTACAGAGAATGGATATAGAGTACAGGAAGTGGATGAAATGGTACGGTAAAGAACACAGTTCTTATAAATTGGAAAAAGGTGATTTTCTTTGTGATGAAATGAAAGAGAAGATTGCCAGTGCTAGGTGAGAATTCATCTCTACAAGGGTAGTTGAAATTCATCAAATTTATATTTGCAAAGTAATTCAGTAAACAGTACAGTACAGTAAACACCCCCCCCCCCCCTCTTCACACCCTTTCTGAAATAATGGGAAACTTTAAAATTTGGATTGATCTGTTGCAATACATGTGTCTGTACTGTGATTGTTCTGGCACGTTTATCTTCCTATCAAGGCAACCTTGGACTCCATGTTGTCTTTGTTTCATTTAACTAACTAGTTTGCCATGAAATGGGAAATAATTATTTGGCTAGTAATTCTTGAGATATGACCTAAACAATCCTATCATATCGTAACTCCTATTGCCCGGATCGTGACGCAATGAGAAGTGCGCTCTCACATCAGGGCAATAATTTCCTGTATCACGCCTGGCCCAGCGTGCTCTGTTTTCATCAATCAAAACAAAATTCTAAATTTCGTTGTGTGTTTGAGGTCACACTGTGGTAAAATCGTAATTACGATACACCTATAAGGTATATGATAAAATCTTTATGGACTGGATACAGCTTTTGCTGCCCTCAGTCGTACAACTTACACGCCAGATGATTTCAAACCGCAAAAACTGTATCCAGTCCATATAGATTAATACTGTACTGGTATTTTAACCTTTTGAACGTCAGTCAACTTTTCTCACTGAGCTATATTATATCTGTATCCAATGGGAAATGTTGTTGTCCATTTGGTCTAAAATTAAGTTTTATTTTTTCAGTATTCATCATGGTTACAGAACTATACAGATCTCATTAATATTGCTTTTCTTGTTTACAGTGTGATATTTGTCAACAATTTTGCCTTCGGACCAGAAGTAGACCATCAGGTGAATGCTATTACTAATAATAAATATTTCTGTCATATTCTCTGTTGCCATGTGTTGTAAGGGACTGCATCTGGTAAAGTACTAAATCAGTTGAACCTAGTTTGACTGGTAAAGTAGCTTGAAATGTTTACTTCGTCTCTCCTTGTCACTATAAATATTTGTTGAAAAACTTACAGATGTCCATAAAGTTATACCACAAATAAATGTTATCACATCAGTAATTACTGTGAAATACTTTATTTTAGCTGGAATTAATTTTCGCTGAAAAGACTTTTTTGGGTGTTTTGTATGGGAATTTATTTTTTACTGATTTTTGATGAGTTGAGTGTAAAATATAGGAAAAAGGGTATATTCACTGGATTTTATTTTCATTGAATCACTCCTTCAGCGAAAATAGCGCAAATAGAGTATTTTACAGTATTTGGCTGATGGTGTCCATGACACAGTGGACTGACATGAATTGTTAGCTATTTTTATAAACCCTCTCCCCCTCCATCACTGTCAATTAAAAACAAACTTCTTTTACATGTCAATCTAATTTAGGCATTGATATAATGCTTGCCAACTGTAAAACCAACTGTAAAATTTCCCATTGGTATCTCAAGACAGCAAATATAAGATACTCTTGTAAATATTGTGTGTAATTAATGATCTTTTTCTACCTATCAGTTGAAGCTTCGGTTCGCCAACATGAAGGAAGGAGCAAAAATTGTGTCCTCGAAGTCGTTCTGCCCGTTGAATTTTAAAATAACACACAGGAATTTGAATGGTGAGTCACTTCTTCATTTATAAGAAATATTTTCCTGTCATACAAATTTAATAACAGGGCATACCTTGGATTTTTCCAACATTTTGAAAACTAAAACCTACCATAATCAGGAATAAGTAATTATTTTAGAATATGGCTGAATTGTTTGAAAGAAAATTTAAAATTATTTCTTTCGTGAAGATGAATTATTAGTGAGTTTTTGTCATTGGTAAACTGATTACAGAATTACAGGAACCAATGGAGGTGTTTTCAAACAGAGTAGTTTAGGTAAATCTAAGTCAGATAATTTCAGTTTTTAAATAAAAAATCTCTTATTTATAAATTGCTCATTATTGTTTATGTAACATCAGCTGCTACCAGTACAAGTATTTTTTGTTTGTTGGTCTGTGTATTTATTATTGTTTGTTATTGGACAAGCTTGAAGAAACTATTTCTGCATTCCACACCAGATAGTGTTCATTACAGTTACAATTATTAATCTTAAGTTTAATATTATTATTATTATTATTATGATTATGATTTAAACTTTTACTTCACAACTATTATTATTATCATTACTTGAAATGTAGCTCAATTTACTTTTGACGCGGTGAATAAATATTTATCGTATTTATCTTTTATTGTTTACCATGAAAATAAATATGAAAGTGAACTGATGTCATTTAATGTGGCATCAGATTGTTGAATTGCTAGAGCGAAATATTTAAACAGAAACAAAGTGATCCAAAAGATAATAATAGTAATAATTTTATAATTCAACAATAAAATTAGAAAAGAAAATATTTTAATTGTCGCTTGGCATTGATGTAAAATGGTATTATTAGGATTAATGAGATGTCATTGTATCATTGTTTATTTTCAGATGTTGCCACCATCATGCGAGTCGTGGAACTATCCCCGTTGAGAGGCTCAGTGTCGTGGACAGGAAAACCTGTATCTTACTATCTGCATACTATAGATAGAACAATTGTAAGTTGATATATCTGTCATTGCATGCACCTCTTCTAGCAGTTATTGCTCGTACCGTAATCGTGTTCTGCACTTGTGTTGTCAGTTGTACTTTGAATGGCGTAACATGTTATCGCTAAAATGAGTGGCAAATAGGGAGACATGATTTTTGTTGAGAATTGCAGTTCTATTTGTTATTGGTAAAATACTGCAAAAGTGTTATTTCTTTTTTATTGTACTAAAGATAACCTTTTATTTGTCTTACAGTTGGAGAAGTATTTCCAGCGCCAGAAAAATCCCAAACTCAGGGTAAGTGGTTTCTTTGCACAGGTTGATAGAATACATGGTGTGCACGATTTGAAAAGTTGGATTAAGGCACATTAATGCAAGTAAATACTAATGTCATCATGTCTTACTATACAAAGCCTTCTGAGCCGACTGAAGACAAAATGGTTACACTCCACATGTACTATTTTCAACCTTACTTTAATGGATATTTCCATGGTTGAAAGAATGCCCCTTTTCAGAATTATCTACATGGGAGGCAGGGAGGGAGGGAGGGGGGTTGGATTTATGAATAGATGTTGAGAGAAATATCAGGAAGCCATTGCTTCTAGTAGCAAATCAATTTGCATCTAATGCTTTATAGTGAATTTTGTATTGTAGGAAGAAGAGGACCAAATTAGGAGAAGCAAGAAAAACTACAGTGAAAAATTCCAGGCTGCTAAAACTCTTGATTTTGATTCCAACAATAGCAACGACAGTGGAGATTCCACAATGGTCGGAGCTACCACAAGACGTGCCTGGTCTGACTGGGTACATGGTAAAGATAAAGAAAATCTCAAAGATGTCAAACAGGTTTGTTTTATTTTGTAGGTGTTGTTTATTTCTTGTGTTCCTTGCTCTCGCCCAATGTCTGCTTGTCAGTGAACATTGCAAGTATTGTATGCATTGGTGTATTGTAGTCATTGTGTTTAAATTAGGTAGATGATCTAATTGAATATTTATAATTTACAGTGCGCAACGTAACATCTTTTGTACCAGTGTATCAGAAACTGTATTAGAGTGCTACATAGAACACAGTTATTATGTGATATAGTTGACTCTGATGCCCTGTGTTTATAATTTTCTCAATTGTTACATCAACCATGATGTTAAAATGAATTAAGAAAATAGCAGTTTACCATCCATTGAAATTGAAACACCAAATTGTTGTTACCACAAAATAACATGTTAGTATTTCATTAAACTTAACTTTCACAAATATAGTTGGTCTTAAATTGTGCTCCAGGGAGTGAAATATAAATCTGTCGTCGGATTCAAACTCTGGTTCTATTTTCTGGATCTCGCGTTGAGGCTTCATTCTGAAAATAGAAATAGTTGGAATGCTGGGAAGTTGCCCATAAAATTACGACTAGTTCTATCCCAATTTCACTTAGAAAATTGCCGGAGGCATTACTAAGAAATATAAAAGGAGACGAACGAAGAAAGATAAGGACAAGGATAAGAAAGGAAGCAAGAAGTGTAAAATGGAATTGAAGGTTAAATCTGAAAAGGTAACAGTCATCGCCAGGGTAGTTTAGTTTTGCTTTCTTGTGTGCTGGGAAACTTTCATCCTTTCTTACATTGTCCTTCTCTGTTTGACTGTTGACAGTCTCTTTGGCCAAATGTGTTTTTGTGGAAAATGATATTAGTCTAACACTGAACGATAGGAAATGTTTGGCTGGATGGGCCGTTGTAGCTCTTTACCATTGCGCAACATTGTAATATTGAGAAATTCAACAGTGTATTGACAGGCTATATGACATTATAAACTTGTTAACAGGAAGTAGAACAGTAAAGTAAGGTGACTGCATGGCACTCACTTTGCTGTTACCAGCATTGATGAAGAAATGAAGAGGTTGACCTTTTCATCAAAGCTGCACGTCTCTATGTATATATCTCTACACATAAATAAATATTATATGCACTGAGTCAACAAGTGTATAATTTCAGTGAAATCTAAACAATTCAGCCTAAGGGACTGTCAACAATATACTTCTCTGTAACATTTTCTAATGCTCTAAATTCGGGAGTGACAATCATTTCCACTGCGATGGCTGCTGCCAATCATGAAAAATGCCCAAGTTTCTTTTATGTCTGTGTTTGCTCTTACAAATGCAAATACAATATCATATCTTGTTAACAAAAAATATACAAGCCAATGTTACCACTAGGCATTACTTACTTGGTGATATTTGAAGTTTCTCTGTACAATTCCGTAATTATAGAAATACAATTGCTATTCTAATATATTGTTTTCATACTCGCTCATGATGCAAGTTTTTACTGATGTGGCTGCATTGGTAGTGAAATAAACAATGTTTAAATAAATCTTTATTTATGATAATAAAAAGGTATTAAATTTGAATGCAAAAAAAGTACAAAGACGCCAATGATGGTACCTGGGTGCAGAGTGTTACAAATGGTCTAACTAATAAAACTTACTTACTTGTCTTTGAAGTAACTGAAGGTGCAATGATTCATATGAAAACTTAGTGGGAAGGGTAAATAAATAAATAAATACTACTCCTGTGCTCTTCGATTGTGACAGATTCTTTCTTGGTAGCCCCCATCAAGTTTTCAAATGGTTCATTGCTATGCTTTCTGAAGTATTGTAAATGCTTGTGGAATTGTGGTGTTAAATTGCATGGCTTTGTCTTTAATATTAATATCCTATGCTTTAAAATAAAAATATTTTCTTAATCCAGGAACATTGTATACTGATAAGTAACTGCTTTTTTTAGATTGTTGGTGTATGACAGAATATACCTGTCAAGTACTTGGTACTTGTGTATGTTCTGATTATATGCAGATTGTATAAAATTATGTGTTATCTACTAACTTGTAATGTATTAACAACTTATTTTACAAGGTGTTTTCCAGTCGACAATTTGTTTGCTGTGCAATGTTTTTTTCTTTGTTCTAGTGACTGCCCAGTTGAACCACATACGCCTGTGTATACACTTCTCTGAGTCTTGTGCTTTAAAAAACTTGAGCTGATTTTGTTAAAACTTAAAATTAAAGTGGATAGTATAAGATTACGACTTGTCTGTACAAACAATACTCTGCCTAGTTTCTGATGCTAATTAGGTGATGGTGGTAATATGCAATTTGGCACAAGATAATGTATTCCAACTGACATGTGAACATTTTAGCATAGCACTGATTGAACAGAATTCGCCAAATATTCTTGTTTGCTTTATAGACAGTGAAAACTATGCGACGGGGACCAGGAAGACCACGGAAGAACAATATTGGTGCTACCAGTACCAAAACCAAATCTTCAGCAGCATTGGCTATTGATTTATTACATGCACATACTATATCTGTTAACAGTAATCCACAGCTTAGTGGTAAGCAGGGTAGGAATACTCTTGATGGTGCAGTCAGCTGGCACACACATGTGATCAATTTACTATATGGGGGCAGCCATCTTGGATACAGCTTGAAACTAAATAAAAAGTAAAGTTGAGAAACAGTTTCTTCAGATTGCTACAAATCAGAGGAAAAATACAAACCTTTCACAGCCAAACGATCCATTGGGGTAACGTTAAGCCAATCACCAATAGAGCTTTTTCCCCACGATTTTTGAAACCAACTCAGGAGCCATTCAGCAAGCCCTTACAGTTAGATGATGATTTTGGTTTCAATTAACTAGGAAAAATTGTCTATGTTCTTCGTTTCACACAAAAAAAGACACATTCGGCCAAATTTTGTTAGTGGTTAGCTTAATGTTGCCCAGTTAGTTTGACTGTGAAAGTTTGATATTATTTTTCTGAAATCTGAAAAACCTGTTTCTCAACTTGTCTCTTTATTTAGTTTCAAGCCTTATTCAAGATACTGTCTCATTTAATATCTGTAAATTTATTTTATTATCATGTGTACTTCAGCTGACTGCTTTGATGATTCATCATTTCATTTGTTACAAAGACATCACATGGCATTACATGTTATATGTGATTCGTAAAAAGACAAATATAAGTATGTATTATGTGATCAACTCCATTGTGTTGTTGAAAATTTGTTTCTTGAATATTTTTCATTCATTAAAAATGTTCAGTTATAAAACATGCTGATTATTCTTTGAATTATCTCATCTTCTTTACAATTTGTGCTCGTCATCCTATCAGTTATATTAGTCCCTGCAATATACATTACTGTTACCATGGTGAAATGGTCAAGCAGCTACATGTATGTCTTGCATAATAGACTGTGTCCTTGTTACAATGCATAGTGGATTACCATGGGATGGTAAGCCCCAGTGTAATTAATACCAACATCTTTTTTTTTGCTCTCTATATTCAGGTTTAATGCATCAACAGTCAAGTCCCAATTTCAATGTTGCTAGTATGATGTCAGCTCCGTTGAAGGTATCATCGGTACATTTACCCACACCTCCACCTCCTCCACCCCCTCGTCAACTACAACTATTGGAACATGAACGGCAGCATCTTGAAAATATGGAATGCCCACCAGCTCTGCAGCAACTACTGGGTAGGTATGATTTAAAAGGGTCAGCTGCAGGATGGCATCTATGTGAAAAACAAATCACACAGCAGTGAACTATTCAAAGCACCAGGATTTTAGTCTTGTGGTTTGTGAAATTTATAGGAACTAAATTTGAAAAACAAAATTTCAATTTAGAAAAAAATGCTTAGGAACTGTTTATACGAGAAACAACATTTTTAGTAATTCTTTATAAGTGATGTTAGAAGATGAGATCGCAACACAAAAAGGACAACAAGAGAAGCAGGAGGCAATCAAAATGAAGGCATTGGGGTCCACTAGGGCTTGTTTCAAATACTATAATAGATGCTTTGTGCCCAGGGAAAAAAAACTTCTATGTTAATTTGTGTATTATCTTATTCTTTTCAGATCTTTATAAGTACCAGTTCTTACAGTATATGCATTCAATGAAAACACCTGAATTTAAGAAATCTGTTCTAGAAGGGATTGAGCAGGAAAAGGTATTATAAGATTTTTTCTTCTATTTCTTGTGCACATTCCATTTCTCTCAATCAGCCTACCTTTCATTCCCCCCAATCATCCTTATTTTCAGTCTGGTCTAGAGGAATGTACTTGTTAGTTCCTGTTTGGACGCAGTCTGGAAACTGGGACTCTGTGTGTCTGGACTTGTATCTTAGACATGCCTGGACTGATTGCATTCAAACTTCATATGTACATCATACATAATATTATACATATGCACATGAACATCTGATTCGAGATGGACGAATTGCGGCCATTTTTGTACTGAAAAATTGTCAAAATCAAGCATTTCTTGACTGTTTACAAATGGATTTTGTTCAAACTTGGTATATACATTGGACATTATAGTACGTCATGTTTTTCAGATAAGATTCAAAATTGCTGACTGGTGGCCATTTTGTTTTAATGAATGCATCTTCTAGTGCCCATATCTCTGACATGCTTTGACTGATTACGTTCATATTTTAAATATTCATTATACATCATCTCATTGATCGGCAATCTGATTCAAAATGGCCAAATGGTGGCCATTTTCGTGCTAAAAAATCATCAAAAATTAGGCATTTCCTGCATTATATATTCATTATACATCATGTCATGAATATACAGATGTATTGGCCAACCGATGGCGGAATTGTGCCATGCATGGCTTGTTAGATTATGATTCTTTTTAAATAATCAAGCAAGAAAGAGGAAAAATTTACTGATGTAACTATTTCACAACTATCAACAATGTGAAATTAAGTTTAGCTATTAAGTGAACTAGGATGCATGTCACTGCATTGGAACATCAATTGTATCTCAAATAGGTTCATACTGTGGGCAATGTATTTGTAATTGCGCTATGTTAATTAATGTCTTAATACTACATTTGCATACAACTCGTACTAATGCTTGGTTGCAGGTGAAAAGAGCACAGTTTGTAGCACGTATATCTCATCTTGACAAACAGATTGAATATTTGACATGTGACAGTGTAAGATTGCTACATGCCAGATTGGATGAGGTGAGGGAGTTCTTCATTCTTCTACCCACCCTCTGATACACCACTACTACTTCAAACTTCATTACATTACTAAGCTTTTGGCCATTCATTCATTGCATTACACTAAGATTTGCTTGGCTTGTCTATTATACAAACAAATGTACAGACAACTGTACACTTTGATGCAACTTCTCTTTGGATTTAAATGTTCTTTTTAAACATTCATTGTGCAGCTATACATTTAAATATTCCATGACAAGTTATATCACAAACAAACAAAACATTTCTTGATGAATTTCAAAACAAAAACTCACCTCCACAAAACATGAGAAATGGAACCTAAACTAGTAGGTTTTGAACAAATAGAATACATCATGTTTTTTTTTAAAAAAACTGGACTCAAAACTGTTTGGAATTTATAGTGGATATACCTGAAAGTGAAAGTATTAGAAGATATTACAACATCCTTTATGCATAGTATATGAACAGTTGAACATATTTGATACACCATGTTCTCATAAAACAGGTTGCATAATCTGCTAGAAAATGTCCCTGTATTCTCCGGTTGCCTGTTCCTGTATTCTCCGGTTGCCTGTTCCTGTATTCTCCGGTTGCCTGTTCCTGTATTCTCCGGTTGCCTGTTCCTGTATTCTCCGGTTGCCTGTTCCTGTATTCTCCTGTTGCCTGTTCCTGTATTTTTCAGTTGCCTGTTCCTGTATTTTTCAGTTGCCTGTTTCCGTATTTTTCAGTTGCCTGTTTCCGTATTTTTCAGTTGCCTGTTCCCGTATTTTTCAGTTGCCTGTTCCCGTATTTTTCAGTTACCTGTTCCCTGTATTCTCTGGTTGCCTGTTCTCTGTATTCTCTGGTTCCTGTTCTCTGTATTCTCTGGTTGCCTTCCATTCCTCTATTCCTCTTGTAGGATAAACCAGGCTTTCAGTACAAGGTCTTATCATAGGCTTTCATAAACCTATAAACTTTTGATTTTTGCTACTATGAATGTTCTTGTGATCTTCATTGCTAATGTTTATGTTTTAATTTTATTTTTTGTTGTATTTCTAATTTTTTGGCTTCAAAGATTGGTATTAAGGCAGCCAACCCTAATGAGCTGCTATCAAGAGCCAAGGACATTGTGTTTAAACATAAGAACCTGCAGAACGACTGTAAAGATTTGAACAAGATTATAGAAGATTTGGAAAATGAAAACAAGAATCTGGTTAGTGTTTGGTATCAGCGAACTTCTTTGTGTGGAGTTCGGTCAAACCCCGATGACAGCCATGTTTGTTTCTATTATTAGAGGATGCTTACGCGCGTAATCATTCCATATTTGGAATTCGCATTTCCTTATATGGTAGGATGAAAACGACCCATAAAATACTGCAAAATTATGGCACGTTTTAACTTATGGTGTTACGGTGACAGATGTATAATAATATACATTACAAGATGAATATCGGAGTTTGTGTTCATGCACAGTAGTTCATTTACTCAATGTCAGGATATTACATACCAAATTTGCATGAAAGGGACGGGATATTAAAAATGTCATCGTATAATAGAAAAAGTAAAATACAACAACTCCAATTTTGTGACAGAATGAACCCTGCCACCACCCTGACTTTTTCTTCTTTTTTTTTGCCTGCAGAGTAAACACACTGTTCTTGATCCGACTGCTTTGATTGGAACTAACGGTACCCCATCGGTCATAATAACTGAACAGATCAAACAGGAACTGAACAATAATCATAAATTGGTGAAACAAGTAAGCAAACTGGAAGATGAAGTGCAAGCTTTACAATCGTTGACCAAGAGTGAAAAAAACGCATTCACTGGAAAGGTAAAACCAAAGAAGCGTACACGAAGGAACGGAGAAAAGAAAACTACGAGTAAAGGAAATCCTCGATGTCGTAGCACAGGACAGAAGATATCTGAACTGTTGGCTGCTAAAGAAGCTGCAATAAGCATGTCCCCACCTGAAACTAAAAACTTGGAACACCCTCCTTCTTCTCAGACCAGTGTGCCAGATTATACCTCGATATCCCCTGCCAAAATAGCACTACGCAGACACTTATCTCAGGAATATAACCATCATCTGCCATCCTATGTAGTGGACTCCATGGATAGTAACAATTTAGCTCAACTTGGAATGAAAACTGAACCTGCTGTGAGCAATGCAGCGACTCAACCCAAATCAAACTTAAATAGCTGCTACATGAATTTATCTAATCAGGTCAATCCAGTCTATTCTGTCAGCCCGCAGCCAAATCACTTGCCTGGCATTGGTCCTAAGAACAATCCTCTGCCAACTGGCAGGAAAAGTAAAAGTCCAAGAAGTATGTGTGGCAGTGAGCAAAAAACTTCTCCAAAGCCTAGGTCACGAATAACTAAAAAAGTACCAGTCTTGAAGTCACAGCCTGTACATCTCCAGGGAGTTGTTGAGAATATGATTGCTACACATATGATGGAAACATCGGTGAATAATAATGCTAACTCAGGGCAGTCTAGTTTACCTAGTCCAAGAGCACACTCCAAATCTTATTTTAATATGGACAGTATTGTATCTGCTGAGACACAAAGCAATAAGACTTCAATGGGACAAAATCGAACTCACGGATTGAATCAGATGAGTACAGGGCAGCCGGACAGTAGGCAAGGTATGTCCTCCTCATCTCAACATCATAAACCACTTATCAGCACATTGGATATAATGCATCGAACTTATGTGAATAACGATGTCGGACTTAATGTTAGTACTGCAGCCTCTTCAGCTGTAGCCGCTGCCGCTTTTGGTCCTCCAGTCAGTCCCCAAAATGTTCAGCTTTACCCGTCACCCAGTACATGCAGTCCTGCGCCGCCTCAGCCAATCAAAGTGGAAGACTCTTCTTCCTCTATGAAGAGTCCTACTGTGGCTCCACCGAAGCAGGAGACTGGGAGCCTTAGCGATCCTCAGTATTTTATTGGACTTAATAGTTCAAATCATTCGGGTATAATGCTTAAAACTGGACCTCCTACGCAGACATCTGACAGTACTCCACAGAAAACTGAGATTGCTGTCATGCCTGTGGCAACTCAAGCACAAGCAGAGAGCAAACCAAATTCACGAAAGAAAAGAAAAAGATCGGCACCTGCATCACCGAGTTGTGCATCGCAGAAGAAGTCCTCCCCCGATGGAACTAAAAAATCTACAAGGGGAGATTCACAGGATGCGATATTGACCATGGTGTCGAATGTGAACCAGCCGTTACATATCAGTGCTATATCCTCACCTGAAAGCTCAGCTAAATCATCCCCAGTGCCAGACGAAGTGGTTGATGCTAAACAGAGTGAACTAGGAACTTCGCTAGAGAAGTCACTAACGAAAGTTGTGAAAGATGAACCCGATGAAAAGAGGTTTGTGATTTGTTTTTAATCCCTTTGAATGCCAAAATCAACTTTTTACAAAATATAACCTGTATCATTTTGTCCATATTTATTCAAAAGTTTTCATCATGACCTGTACTGTACTGTACTCATTCTGCTCAGTCTCCTGCTCACTTCTGCTTTTTGAACGCTTGTTAAATTTGATCAGATAATTTCCGCTTCATTTCCGATCGCCTGCCCAACTGCCCGCCTGCCCGCCTGCCCAACTGCCCGCCTGCCCACTCATTTGCATTTAAAATTCAGACCTTTACACTAAAAATATTCCAAGGTTCACATTGATTGATCGTTCTGTCGTTCTGGTTATTAGAGACTAATGGTTATTGAATAGCCATCTAAAGTTCAAATACTTTGTTTTTATTTACCTATAATTATATGCCCCCAATCTGATATTTTATTTTTAGTAATATTCTGACCTTGCATACTTCTACAAACATGCATTTTGACTCAAACACAATATGATTTCCTGACTTGTATATCATTTTTGACAGCCACCTGTCAATCTGTTAAATTTTGATGGAAAGTTTCACACGTAGTCTACAAATCTGGCTACACATTCATCTTGCATTCAGAGGCATTTTTCATAACCCCGGTGAGCATATACTGATAGATTCCACACATCTAGTAATGTTTGTATATATAACGTAGTAAACAAGAGGCAGGCTATTTAAATCACAATTCTTGGATTCTGGAGCCATGGTTAAAAATATTACAATGTATTTGATATATACAATGCACAAATATCACTTCCAGGGCCAACACAGTTTTGCAATTATTTGTCTTTGATTATAAGAATATTGTCATGTGTAAACATTATGTCAACTGTTTGTTGTATAATTATCCTGTAGTAATGATGATGGTACAGATACTGATAGGTGTCGACCCTTGACCCCTGGTGGGAAACCTCCAGAAGCCCTGGATACGAATACACATGGTGAGTCTGTTTTGGAAGTGTTTGTTATACTACCGTATGCACTTTAGTGATTTTGTGAGTGGAGTGCTTCATGAAAGCAAGTCTTGAAACTTGTATATTCTTCTGTTCATATCTAATCATATTTAATGAAAAGATTAAGAATCAGCTTGGTACTGAATTGTTTATCACAGCTAAACCTGTGTAATGTTCCCCAAACGTTTTTGCTAACTTGATAATTCTTAATTTATTCTTTTGTCTGTCAAAAGCATTGGATTTATGCAGGAAGAGGTCTGAACACTGAATATAGTGATGAGAATGCCTGCATTAAATTACAAATAGTCAAACCTCTACCTGCACAGTCACACACAGTGAATGACATACGTGTGCAGTCAGGAATAAAGCAGTGTATTGTGAAAGTCTGCATGATTATATCTGGTGTAATACATATGACTGAGAGATGCATGTTTATGTATTTGTGAGCTGACGTAAATGTTTGCTTGTTCAATTTCAGATGATATATCAGCATATGGTATACCTCCTGACAAGAGTTCACCAATGGAAGCAGATTGTAAAGAATCATTGGCGCATATCAACAGTAGTTTTGATGCACTCATGGCATTTACTTCCCATCAACTGCACAAGCAAGGGAGAAAGAATCCTAAGACTAACGATAAAAAAGAGAAGACTCAACCCCATGATGAGTCCAAAGATGAAAATGTTACTACGGAAACTAAAGCAGGTGATGAGGAGTTTATTGACGTTGAAGGTGGTGTGATGGCCAATGGTTTTGATCAAAGTCAGGAGACTACTGTTGAAACTAAACGGTCACTCACCCCAAAGCCCAGTATTGACCCGGAATTTATGAAAGTTGATGAACTTAGTAAGTCAGCATGTTCACAGAGACTTCAGAAACTGTCTACTGAAGTGACAGGAAATGTGTTTGATGTTAATGGACAGCTCTCTGCTTTAGATTCGTATTCTCACCAAGATTATCGAGAAATGAAAATGGAAAATGTGGGATTTAGGAATCAAGAATCAGAGCCTTTTGTGCCATACCATAAAAAGTTTTCCCAAAGGGACAGAGATGTCGGCAAAAAGCATGGGAGGCAGTGGCTTCAGAAAGGTCAGAGACGGAATAGTTCTGAAGGGAAATTTAGCAGGTATAATCGTAGTCCTGAGTGGAAGAACTCGACACGAGCATCACCTTATAAAGGATTTGAAGATAATCAGAGACAAGAGAACGATTACTTGTATGGAAATCATCCTTTGACTCATCAAATTCCCCCACTGGTCCCACCAAGAACTAGTCCTGCATTGATGTCTCCACTGCCCCCTGATCCTTCATTTGGTCATCCAGGCTCTTTCACGGACACAAGAAACTCTGTTATTGGTGATGCTGGGCAAAGAATTCCAATATCCTCTTTCACTGCCCCATCCCATTACCCTGTTACGTCAGTATCTTCTTATATGTCATCAGGTCTTAATTCATATGGCAAAGGAGCCTCTTATCTTAGTAATTCATTATCTGCCTGGGGTCCACCCCCACCAAATATCTCTCTGGCACCCCCATATAGTAGTGTTCCCTTGCCCCAGAGAGTACCTCCCCATACTTTAAGTGGACCTAACCCGAGAATGACAGCCCAAACACCGCCACCTAATATGACTCTAACGCATTGTGAGCCTCCCCCTCCTCCACCACCTCCTCCCCCAGGCAGACCAATGAGTCAAGAACCACCGCCACCTCCTCCCCCTCCAGGACGACCTCATCCACAATCCTCTCCAAAGATTGCCCCAATTAGACCAAATGTTGTGAATAGTAACTTTGGTATCAATAACATGATGCCACCATCGTATGGTTATGGTGGACCAGGATCTGAGATGTCAATGCCGATGTACATCAGAGGTGCTCCTTATAACAATGACAGTCTGATGAGAACGTAAATGCAGGTACGGATACAAACACATTGCTTAGTACAGTACACAACTTTACTGTCACTGGGAATTCAGTGCTGCCTATTACTCTACCCAACTTTACTGTCACTGGGAATTCAGTGCTGCCTATTACTCTACCCAACTTTACTGTTGCTAGGATTTTACTGTAGTACTAGCACTGTACCCAATTTTGTTAGCATTTCTTTAGACATCTTTTTCAGGCGAATATAAACACATTTACTTTTATCTCTACATTTGATTTGCAAATGGTGCCTCGTAGGAAATGCCACTGTAAACTGAAAAGTTTTGATGAGCAGAATACTATCAAATAGCATAAACTGTTGTCACCTTCTGAGGTTCTTTCTTGACAATTACATTTCACATGTTCTGATTGTGAGTACCACTAAACATAATATAAATGGAACTTCCCAATTCGTTCTGATTGGAATAAATGCTTTTCCAAAGAAATGATATCGCCCTCTGCAGACAGATCATGGCTTTACTTTTGTTTTCTGTTTTTTCTCACCAGCTCAACAAGTCGGGCATCTACCTCAGCTCTGCTCATGTTCGTTTGCTGATGCTGACAACTATGCATTGCGTCGCGAATCCAAAGAATATAGAGTTCGGCTGAAGCTGAAAAAAGTAAATGATGCGCAGGACACAATGAATCCCTCATTTAAGACGTTACTGTGTTTCACTGGGCAGTGCTGCTCACTGGCAAGCCAGGAGTGTAAACATGTTCTCAACCTTAGAGTGTGATCCTTTTTTATATGCCCACAGATGTTGTATTTCACTGGACATGTGTTTTCCAGCTTTTATAACAGTATTGAAACCACCTGAACTCAGTCAGAAAGGCAGTGTGTTTTTATGCCGCAAGACGAAACTAAATTGCAGCATTTCAGGGATCATTGGAATTTTGTTCTCATTCCTAAAGGTGCTATTGAAATAAGTTTTACCAACATTCCACTTTTATATTAATCAGTAATCATATGGTTAAAAATAACCACAAAAGTTTACTGAGTGAAACGTCTTTCCTATACTTGATCTTTAAATTACTGAAATAAAAACAGAATGAGAAGAAAAACTACTACTCCTCAAAGAAGCCAACCTTTCTGGAATTGAGCGGTACACCTGCACGACTGGCGTATTATTCAGTCTCTTTTAAGGATAACTGAAATTTGTCGGGATGTTCGTAAATTGCTGTATTTGAACATTTGAGCACCGGTTAATCACTTGTCAGTTTGAAACTATCCAGTTATTTAACGTTATCCACAATACACACTTTGGTGAATGTGTCTCATATTTTGGGTTTCTAGAAATTTTAGTTAAGATGACCACACATAACTAATTTTGCCAGTTTTCTGTTTGTCTCATTATACAAACTTTCCATAACTATCATTAACAATTTTGAACTGTTTAAGGACCAGAAATAAATTATGCATATTCTGTCATTGTTAAATCTGACGATACATTTGCATTTCTGCAGGTTACTATTGATATTGTACGAGTGGCCCCTGAAAGTGAAGCAACACAAACAAAATCAGTGTTCAGTAAAAGCAGACATTCCTGCTGCTAAAGTCTGTAAAAAAAATAACCTGGTCCATTTCGTATAAATCTTAAAGGCTGGCAATTGTGTCTTCTAATTTTGTTTTTGAATAAATCTGCATAAAATCAATGTTTGAACAACGGCTGTATTGCTGATAGCCTCCATATCAGGTTCAATGTAACTTTAAATTTGTTTTATGTAGAAAAAAAAAAGGTGTGATTTTGTTATGTTTTTATGTCTGATAAAATAATCCATTTATTATTACCATTTAAAATATTTTCAATATATCCACTACTGAGACAACCTTTGAATGTCAAAGTCAACTTTTTACCATTTTCCAAAAATAAATCTGTAAAATTCTTTCCAGTGGCAATTTATTTCTATCATGTATATTTTGTCCAAAATTATTGTCTGGGATTATAGCATTTAAAGGTTTTAACTAATTTCCACAGTGACACATTGCCTATGTGAGAAAGTGTCTTATTGGGTTGAGATAATTGATTTTCAGGTCTCTGCTCTGTTATTGGTTGAGCTTCTCATTGCTAAAAGAGCTCAACTATTTCGCCTCGGGGTATTTTCTGAAATTAAGTGTTATTCATTAATCTGCTGGTATGACTAGTGGATTCTTTTTTCCCCATTAGTGCACTTTTCAGTTCTGGCAATCAACAGAATTACACCACCTGTTTTCTGAGAAGACTTTGTATTATACACAAGTACCTCACTTTGTTGTCACACATTTCAAACCGCCAATACAGGGATATTGCTATCAAGTTTCCACCGAAGTAAACAATTTCAAACATCTGACTTGGTGCTTAAATGAAATCCTTTGCCTAATTGGTACATTTGTAATATATGCATGAGTTACATGTGGAGTGAAGTTCCAATGTACCAAAATAAAGTAATTGTTATAAGTTGTGCTCGTCCCATAGACAAATTTTCAATCAGAGATTACAACAGAATGTTGTAATCTTGTTAATTGGAGAAATGTGTTAACACCATTAATCACAAGACTTGTCAGCTAACAGAATCAGTCGCAGTCTGGTTTATACTAAAGTGTGTTTCTACTAAGGGTACATTTGCTTTTCCTAATACAAGCCAAAGTTGAAACTTTTTGTATTTTTTTTTGTCTGGGTCTTTGAACGGCCATATAAGTTATGTCAAACAATATTGAGGAAATAGTTTTGTTAATGCATCTTTTATCAGTGAAGTGTTCACTTGCCCAAGGAAACAATTAGAAACATTTGTTTCTCACAGCAATTCTGTTACCTCACATGTTGAGTTAACCGGGCATATACTGCCCAGATTGTTTTTTTGTTTTTTTTAAAATAATGAATGCGCTGAAATAATTGTTGAGAATTAAGTTTCAATAAAAGTTATCAATATTGAGATTAATTACATCAACTCCATCTGAAATATTTTCAAGGAATTTGATTAATACTAGTTTTGTTTCTCAGTTTACTCGTATTTAAAAATATTATTGATAGTGTTGAGGTTTATGATATTTGCAGTCTGGTGTTTGTAAAGAAAGTCTTTGCAATAAACTGGCCAACTCTAACATGTTTGTACAAATATTATATAAACTTGTCTGGTATCATTAAAAATTGCATGAATTTTGGTCACAGTAAAATATAATACAGTCTGGACAACATTCAGACGCAACCTCGTCTGTTCCATGGTGAGCTGCAGTACAACACATTGTTTGTATCATTAAAACCCATGTGCTGCATTAGACATTTTTTTTTTTTAAATTTTTACCTCAAAATCAAATTTGATACATTTGAATATGAATTAGTTAAAACATTCCAGTTTTGTAATAAGCCTTTATATTATCTAAACAGTTGTCATGTCAATATCGTGCCTAGCACCCCCTAGTGGGTGACGAGTCTGTCAATAGACACAATCTTTCATTCATGTTACTATATCTAGAGGTAGTAAACACTTTCAGTTGTATAATCACCAAGACTTGGTTAGTGACCTAGACATAATCCAAGGTGGGGTTCACCTTAAATATTGCTTTATTTTACAACAAATATATGTAACTTTGACTTTTTTTCTGATTTTCAGAATAGGGTTTGCAAGACCATTGGTCCTGCTCATTGAAAACAGATTAGAATGACCAATGATGGGTGTATATCATTGTATAATACTATCTAATTGATGCATCATTTATCTAGTTTGTAAATTACCCTCTTCTTTTCACTTTTATTTATTTGACTAATGACACAGTAGTAGTATTCTAGACTCTATTTTGGGTTATCATGATGTATCGTGTGTACATTTGATTGTGTTACTTTGTATTAAACTTCTATGTTGACAACAAAAGTGTTTTATTTACCCCTCCCCCTCCCCTCCCCCTCAAAGTTTACTCAGATTTATGAATGCAGTTTCTTGAGCATGTATGAGACATAGTTTGGTTGCACTGATTTTGGACCTGCGTCAATGAAAGTTATCAGATTAAGGGAAATCACTTTATGATGAGTTGTACCCACATAGAGTACATATTAATTCAATTGTTTGCAGATGTTCCATGTATTATTTTAACACGAGTATTTTATAATTAAATAACGGGGACTGACATTCATGTCTTGTTAGACAAATTGGGTTTATTTCAACAGACCTAAACCTTTTTAGTACTAATAACCGATACCCAGAAGCCACCTAGCCTCTTCTTGTTAACAGTTGTGTTTATAATTGGTTCCTCATCACAAGAGGTAGAGCAAGACTTAGATGTGGGTCCTTGGCTTTTTTTACTCCCATGTGCGAAGCACAAAATGGGAGTCTTTGCAGTTAGTGTGTGTGTATGTGTGTGTGTGTATGTGTGTCCGACTGTTCCACTGCTATCTCAAGAACCATACATCGGTTTTTGATGAAACTTGGTGCATAGATGCTCTGGGCCAATGCGCAGATTTGATTAGGTTTTGGTAAAAATCCATGCTCGTTAATTACCTAATTTGCATGATAATTAGCTAATTTTTAGCTGTTCTATGACTGTTCCACTGATATCTAAAGAACCACTCATTGGATTTTGATGAAACTTGGTACATAGATGCTCTGAACATATGCGCAGATTTGATTAATTTTTGGTAAAAATCCGTGCATATTAATTACCTAATTTACATGATAATTAGCTATTTTTTAGTGGTTCCATGACTGTTCCACTG